TTGATTGGTTAATTATCACGGGAAATCACGGGTAGATCTACAATAATTGACCAATCACAGAGATTGTCTGCTATGCTCCTGTATATTTAATAATAGGATCTTTAAATTTCGTGTAACAACAGTCACGTGCCGGAGGCAATTTTCTTAAAATACGAATTTCTTCTTGCTAACCTTAAGATGTCATCTATGTTGCAGGAATTCCGAGCAAAACGTGAAGCTCAAAGAGTCCGAGTTGAAGACAAATATGAAATTTTGGGTTTTATCAGTTCAGGAACTTATGGAAGAGTATACAAAGCACAAGCAAAACAGAAAAATAAAGGGTTTGTATTAGAAAGCTTATTTATTGAACATGTTATCGAATAAATATGTAAAATCGTTTTCAATGTCTACAGTTCAATTGATGAAAAGCCACTCATGTATGCGATAAAAAAATTTAAACCTGATAAAGAAGGCGACGTCACTACTTACACAGGGATATCGCAGTCTGCATGTCGAGAGATATCGGTATTTATCAGGATTTTAAAATGTAATCTCTGCTAAAAGATCCATTATTTATTTTACGCGTTAACAAAGTTGTGTCGGGAACTCAGTCATGTAAATATTATTGCTCTGCAAGAAGTGCTTTTAGAAGATAATTCAATACACATGGTGTTCGAATTCGCGGAACATGATTTTCTGGCAAGATATCTGTGATTATTACTATACAATGTTCTCTCATCTAGGCGTCTATTGTTTACTTAAATGATTTTACAGCAAATAATCCACCATCATAGTAGTCAGCATAACCAACACGACAGATCATCTGCTATTCCCGAATTCACTATCAAATCATTTTTATGGCAACTACTTAATGGAGTAGCATATCTTCACGCTAATTGGGTTTTACATAGGGATTTAAAACCGGCAAATATTTTAGTCACCGCCGATGGTGTAGTGAAAATTGGTAAAGTAAACACATATTATTTAAACATCTAACATTTTTACTGATGTATCCGTATTATATAGGTGACTTAGGACTTGCTAGAATTTATCAACTTCCCTTACAGCCTTTGTTTAATGGTGATAAAGTAGTTGTGACAATATGGTACCGAGCGCCTGAACTTTTACTCGGGTCTAAACATTATACCAAAGCGATAGGTTGACCATTTAAAAATTATATATCTATTCTTTGTATTTCTGGCATTTCTGCTCATTGAATTTTACAATTTCAATCAGATATTTGGGCTGTTGGATGCATTTTTGCTGAGTTATTGACCTTAAGACCAATATTTAAAGGAGAAGAAGCAAAAATGGACAATAAAAAGAGCGTTCCATTTCAGAAAAACCAGTTGACAAAGATTTTTGAAGTATTGGGGAAACCAACAAGTAAACGCAATTTCAATATAAATGATGTATGTTTTATTTATTGATTCCCTCCAATAATTTGGAACTTTACTTTGAATTTAGAGGATCAATGGTTCGAAATCGAAAAACAACCGGAATATTCTCAGCTAGCTTCTTTTAGAGCGTAAGTTTGGTATTATATCCTTTTATATATTCAGGAAGCTCGTATATTTGCCATTAAATTTTTTTCTATTTATCAGGTATCCAAATAGACTACGGGATTTTTATCAACATCATTGTTCATCGAAGTCTGAACAGGGGTATGCTTTATTGGCTCGTATGTTAGAATATGATCCTTTAAAACGAATTACTGCTGAGGAAGCCCTGAAACATCCTTATTTTGAGGAAGATCCCATCCCGTCCATGGAGTGAGTTTATAGTAATATCATAAATGTTATCCATTACTTTTATTAATTTATATCTGTTTTAATTAAATAGTTCTTTCGACGGACAGCCATTTCAATATCCATCACGAAGTGTTAAACATGATGATAATGATATGAAAGCACCACCAGCAGCAGCTAATGCCAGCACAACTACACAAGGTCAGGCAGGAGCATCGCAAGGTGGAGTAGGTGCGGGACGAAAGCATGCTCATTCTGGAAAAGACGAAGGAAGAAATAATAAGAGGCGAGGCTAGATTAATATCGTATACTATCCATGGATTATGTAATTAGTTAATACTTTGTATTTTATTTTACCTAACTTGATACCCATTACATTTAGGACGTTTAATAAGAAAATCGGGCACAAGTAAATCAAGAGGCATATATTTTCTAAGGTACCAGAGTATATATAGTTAAGTTTGTATAATAACAAAAAAGCTAATAGGAAAATATTATAAGCAATGTTAAAAATATGGGGAATTTACAAATAAGGGCCCGGAAGGTGAAAATAATTACAAATACGGGCCCAAATTAAAAATAATTACATATAAGGGCCTAATTTTTAAAAAATATTACATATAAGGGCCTAAAATAACTGTGGCGCTATTGGCTTGATCGTTATTAGTATAAGAAACGTAAGCATTACATAAAAAATGTAACGATCGATTGTAAATTAGTAATTATAAATGAGAATTAATTTAATTTTCCTTGTATGAAATTGCTTATTGTTATAACAAACCACTATGATGTCAAGTAAAACATCGCGAATTGGCATGGCATTTACTAATATGGAAGATATTCGTTCAGCTTTAGAGAGTTACTTTGTTGAAACTTCGCCTTATGAATAATTGTGCTAGTTTAACGCTATTTTTATGTAATATTTAAGCGAAAATGATTATAACTAGCACTTCATTTATCCTTTGCTTTATTATAGACTATCCATATACTGATTATTAGATAAATCTATAATCCTATTAATCGTGATTTTGCTATCGTTATAGTTCATCAATAAATTTGGGCCCTTATGCCATACAAACTTAATGATTTGGTTTAGTGATACAAATGAAAGTTGGAAAATTAATTAGTTGAACAAGTTGACAACTAATTGATTTTATTTTTTAAAACCAACTTATTCGATTAATCAATTAGTTGATAAATTAATTAATTGATTAGTTGACAAATAAA